TCAAGAGAAGTTGAGCTCCAAACTTTCTGTTTTGGCCCCAACAGCGACGTGCGCTATCGTCTGCTGCGCCAGGAGCCGCCAGTGCCCGCCCTTCGCTTGGACGCGCGCACCGGGGCGCTCAGCGCTCCGCGCGGCCTGGACCGGGAGACCACGCCCGCGCTGCTGCTGCTTGTGGAAGCCACCGACCGGCCAGCTAACGCCAGCTGCCGGCGCGCAGCGCGCGTTTCCGCCCGCGTCTTTGTCACGGACGAGAATGACAACGCTCCCGTCTTCGTCTCGCCCTCTCGTGTGCGCCTCCCGGAGGATCAGCCGCCTGGGCCCGCAGCGCTGCACGTGGTAGCCCGAGACCCAGACCTGGGCGAGTCCGCACGCGTGTCCTATCGCCTGGCCGCTGGCGGGGACGGTCACTTCCGGCTACACTCGAGCACTGGTGAGAGTCGGGCCTGGGGGTGGGGACGAGGAGGGTGCTGGTGAGGAGGGCGTGTTGAGGTTTCTACCAACCCGCCCTCCCGCTCACTCAGGAGCGCTGTCCGTGGTGCGGGCCCTGGACCGCGAACAGCGAGCTGAGCACGTACTGACCGTGGTGGCCTCAGACCACGGCTCCCCTCCGCGCTCGGCCACGCAGCTCCTGACTGTCAGTGTCGCTGATGTCAACGACGAGGCACCCATTTTCCAGCAGCAGGAGTACAGCGTCCTCTTGCCTGAGAACAGCCCGCCTGGCACATCTCTGCTCACTCTGCGGGCAACTGACCCCGACCTGGGTAAGACCAGGAGAAATGAAATGCGAGCGGGATGAACTGTTGCAAGAAGTGGTATATTTACCCTCTGATTGCTGTCCATGCTGTCTCTCCTCAGGGGCCAATGGGCAAGTGACTTATGGAGGCGTCTCTGGCGAAAGCTTCTCTCTGGACCCAGACACTGGAGTTCTCACCACTCTTCGGGCCCTGGATAGGGAAGAGCAGGAGGAGATCAACCTGACAGGTACACTTTGACAAGACGCCAAGATCCCAAGAGACTGAGGTGTGATAAATACCAGTGTTACATTGGCAGAATCCCCAAAGTACTGCCTTCTAGAAATTTCCACCCGTTACAGCACAGCTGCTGTTATATTTTTGGATGCTTTTGGGGACTCAAGATTTTAGCAGGGTGCAAGGTGAACTGACTTCTAGGCTGTCACCACTGTGATCACATAAGCTCTCAAATGAAAAATGTCACAGCTATGCCCCCTAGACCTTCCTCATATCATACTGCAACCATTTAACAGAGAAGCATATTGATCTTGAGTATCAGAGAGGTCAAGTGACTTGCTCAAGCTAACATAGTTTGGAAGTGGTGGGGCTGGTACTCAAGCCAAGGTCTTTTGATACCTCATTTAGTGCTTTTTCTGTCACACACCCACTCATTCAAGATATACCTTACATGCGTCAAGCATGGGAGGTGGGAAGGAAAAGAATATCTGACATATGTATGTTTATATGTGCATGTACACATGTGCCTAGAGGTTATGGAGAGACGGACATTTTCTAGTTTGTGTGTGCACTTTGCGAACATGAATGAACACTATATTGTGTGAGTTTCTTCATGGGATGGGGCAGCCTAGACCTCACTGATTTTGGTTCCCTACAGTGTATGCCCGGGACAGGGGCTTGCCTTCTCTATTAACGCATGTCATAGTGCGAGTGGCTGTGGAGGATGAGAATGACCATGCACCAACCTTTGGAAGTGCCCACCTCTCCCTGGAGGTTCCCGAGGGTCAGGACCCCCAGACCCTTATCATGCTTCGGGCCTCTGACCCAGATGTTGGACCCAATGGGCAGCTGCAGTACCGTATCCTGGGTGAGAATCATTGAACACCCCCTAACCTAGCACCCACTTGCCTGGTCCTTTTCCTCGTTGGCTGCTGTCAGCATCAGTCAGTGTGTCTGAGTCTCTTTTCCCTTCTTTTTATGTCTTCCACTTTTTCTTTCATGCATGTATTAGTGTATCTGGGTATTTCTTTCTATGCCTCTCCAGCTGTTTATCTCCATCTACATCTCCATTTTTATCTTCCTGTTTCTTTTCTTTCCCTTGTCTTTTTCTGTAGAACAGTTGTTCTGAAACTTTTTGGTCTCAGGAACCCTCAGTGCTCCTAATTTTTGAAAACTCTAAAGAATTTTTATGTTAGTTATGTCATTATTTACTGTATTAGATATTAAAACTGAGAAAATTTTAAAATATCATTGCAAAACAAGTCAATGAAATATATTGCTTGCCATATTTCTGCATAGGCGCAAGGAAATATTAGGATTTCAAATCATTTATTGGACAGTAATGAGGTTACAGAGATTATAGCAGGTATAACTAAAGATAGCCAGCACAAACTGAATCTCTGAAAATACATATATTCATGCTCTCAAGTTTATACCTAGAATATTCTAGAGAATGCAAGAATGCATAAGCACACATTCCATTAATGAAGTGATGATGTCATCACATGTCATATAGCATCTGCAAACTCCATTGTACATTTGTGAGATGAGAAGAATGAAAAAGGCATATAACATCTTAGTAGTGCTATGAAAATAGTTTTGATTTTATGTGTATGAAAGGGTCTCAGGGTACTCCCGGGGGTTCCCAGACAACACTCAGTGATAACAGCAGCTTTAATAGTATCTTTCTTTACCTACTTGTGTTTCTATTTTTCTTTATTTCTATATCTCTGCCTTTCTTCCAGTCATGTGCTCATGTTTTCTCTCTCTCTCTCTCTCTCTGTCTCTCCCTTTCTTTGCTGTTGTCTGTAAACCACTACCACCTCCATGGGCTGACACAAGTATGTTTATGTGTGTATGCCCTTCTCTGCAGATGGGGACCCATCAGGAGCCTTTATCCTAGATCTTGCCTCTGGAGAGTTTGGCACCATGAGGCCACTAGACAGGGAGATAGAGCCAGCATTCAAGCTTCAGATAGAGGCCAGAGATGGAGGCCAGCCAGCTCTCAGTGCCACTTTGCTTGTGACAGTGACAGTGCTGGATGCCAATGACCATGCTCCAGCCTTTCCTGTGCCCGCCTACTCTGTGGAGGTGCCTGAAGATGTACCTGCAGGGACCCTGCTGCTGCAGCTACAGGCTCACGACCCTGATGCTGGGGCCAATGGCCATGTGACCTACTACCTGGGTACAGGTACAGCAGGAGCCTTCTTACTGGAGCCCAGCTCTGGGGAGCTACGCACAGCTGTGGCCCTGGACAGAGAACAGTGTGCCAGCTATGCCTTTTCTGTGAGTGCGGTGGATGGTGCAGCTGCTGGGCCCCTAAGCACCACGGTGCCTGTCACCATCACTGTGCGTGATGTCAATGACCATGCACCGACCTTCCCCACCAGTCCTCTGCGCCTGCGCTTGCCCCGCCCAGGCTCCAGCCTCAATACCCCAACACTGGCTCTAGCCACACTGCGAGCTGAAGATCGTGATGCTGGTGCCAATGCCTCCATTCTGTACCGGCTGGCAGGCACTCCACCTCCTGGCACCACTGTGGACTCTTACACTGGTGAAATCCGTGTGGCCCGGTCCCCCGTAGCTCTGGGTCCCCGGGATCGTGTCCTCTTCATCGTTGCCACTGACCTTGGCCGTCCAGCTCGCTCTGCCACTGGTGTGATCATTGTTGGACTGCAGGGGGAGTCTGAACGTGGACCCCGCTTTCCCCGGGCTAGTAATGAGGCTATGCTCCGTGAGAATGCACCCCCAGGTGAGTCCCCAGCCATGTCTCTTAGATCCATATCCCTGGATGGGCTGGGGTTACTAACTGTAAATATCCCACTAACTCCCTAAGTCTAGTGCTCACAGCCCAACCAATACCATTTTCTCTGCAGGGACACCTATTGTCTCCCCCAAGGCTGTCCATGCAGGTGGCTCAAGTGGACTGATCACTTATAGCATTCTCAGTGGGAATGAGAAAGGGACATTCTCCATCCAGCCCAGTACAGGTAAGGGATGGGAGCAGGGGCTCTATGAAGGGACGAGCTCCTGGGGAAGCAGGTTCTTTGGGCCAGTGGAGGCTTTGATGGGGCAGGGGCTTGAGTAAGGAGGCCTCAGAGAGGGAGGCCCCAGGGTAAACAAAGAGACGGTCCTGATGCATTCTGCCTCCCAACCCCCCACCCCCACCAGGAGCCATCACAGTTCGTTCAGCAGAGGGGCTGGACTTTGAGGCAAATCCACGGCTGCGACTAGTGCTGCAGGCAGAGAGTGGAGGAGCCTTTGCCTTCTCTGTGTTGATCGTGACCCTGCAAGATGCCAATGACAACGCTCCCCGTTTCCTGCAGCCCCACTATGTGGCCTTCCTTCCTGAATCCCGGCCCTTGGAGGGACCCCTGCTGCAGGTGTGGGGTGTGGTGGGAAGATGGGGGGAAGCGGCTGGTCACACTTCTCTGTGGCCAGGCCAATGCCAGCAGTCTCCTACCCTCACCAGGTGGAAGCAAATGACCTGGATCAAGGCTCTGGAGGACAGATCTCCTACAGTCTGGCTGCATCCCAGCCAGCGCGGGGATTGTTCTCTGGGATGGGAGCAGGGGCTCTATGAAGGGACGAGCTCCTGGGGAAGCAGGTTCTTTGGGCCAGTGGAGGCTTTGATGGGGCAGGGGCTTGAGTAAGGAGGCCTCAGAGAGGGAGGCCCCAGGGTAAACAAAGAGACGGTCCTGATGCATTCTGCCTCCCCACCCCCCACCCCCACCAGGAGCCATCACAGTTCGTTCAGCAGAGGCGCTGGACTTTGAGGCAAATCCACGGCTGCGACTAGTGCTGCAGGCAGAGAGTGGAGGAGCCTTTGCCTTCTCTGTGTTGATCGTGACCCTGCAAGATGCCAATGACAACGCTCCCCGTTTCCTGCAGCCCCACTATGTGGCCTTCCTTCCTGAATCCCGGCCCTTGGAGGGACCCCTGCTGCAGGTGTGGGGTGTGGTGGGAAGATGGGGGGAAGCAGCTGGTCACACTTCTCTGTGGCCAGGCCAATGCCAGCAGTCTCCTACCCTCACCAGGTGGAAGCAAATGACCTGGATCAAGGCTCTGGAGGACAGATCTCCTACAGTCTGGCTGCATCCCAGCCAGCGCGGGGATTGTTCCACGTAGACCCAGCCACAGGCACTATCACTACCACAGCCATCCTGGACCGTGAGATCTGGGCCGAAACACGGTGAGGCCTGGCCCTGTGGACCCAAGACCTCATCCTGGGTCTGTCCAGTTTCAAGCTCTGCCTCACATCCCCTTCTGCCTTACTGTCTTACAGTCCCTAGGTGACACCCTGACTTTCCCAACCCCAAGCTCTGTCCTGAGTCCTCCTAGCCCTGCCCAGGGTTCCCCCTTACCCACAGCCCCACCCCCTGATTGTGCTCTGTGTCCAGGCTGGTTCTGATGGCCACAGACAGAGGAAGCCCAGCCCTGGTGGGCTCAGCTACCCTGACGGTGATGGTCATCGACACCAATGACAATCGTCCCACCATCCCCCAGCCCTGGGAGCTCCGAGTGTCAGAAGGTGAGGGCTGAGTAAAGTGAGAGGCACTATTCCCCTCCCTGGGGCTCCAGGGGTGCCTGGGACCATGGCAAACACACTTGTCCCATGTATTACAGATGCACTATTGGGCTCAGAGATTGCACAGGTAACAGGGAATGATGTGGACTCAGGACCAGTGCTGTGGTATGCACTGAGTCCATCTGGGCCCCAGGATCCCTTCAGTGTTGGCCGCTATGGAGGCCGCATCTCCCTCATGGGCCCCCTGGACTTTGAACAATGTGACCGCTACCACCTGCAGCTGCTGGCGCATGATGGGCCTCATGAGGGCCATGCCAACCTCACGGTGCTTGTGGAGGATGTCAATGACAATGCACCTGCCTTCTCACAGAGCCTCTACCAGGTACCAACACCCCTGGATGCCCCCACACCTGGGCCCAGGGTTGTTCCCATTGGAAGGAAGTAACAGAGTTAGAAACAGGTGGGTGGGCTGGATGTTGGAATTGATCTGGGGATGGGAGCATCCCATCTCAGAACATCCTTCCAAGTCCTATGAACTATGTCCAGGTTCTATCTTGTGCCCAGAAAGGGGAGAAGGTAGGTAGGCAATTCTCATTTGCATACTAAAAAGTATGGGCTCCAAGATGGAATGATGCCAAGCATGGCTTATGGGACCAAGCTCCAGAACATAGGCTGAATGAGCAATAGGGAAGCTGGGAAGCTTGGCCATGAATGCTTTTCCTCATATCTCAGGTGATGCTTCTTGAGCACACACCCCCAGGCAGTGCCATTCTCTCCGTCTCTGCCACTGACCAGGACTCGGGTGCCAATGGTCACATCTCCTACCACCTGGCTTCCCCTGCTGAGGGCTTCAGTGTTGACCCCAACAATGGTGCGTCTTTCCCAGGATCTGACCCCTTATCTTTGACTGCGTTGGGCCATATTCTGATCTCCTTCCTAGAATTTGTTACCCAAACTCTTGCCTGCTAGATCTCTAACCCAGGGAGGACATTTTCTTCCACCTGTCTTTATTATAAGCCCTTTGTTGACTGCACGTCTAGAAGTTGTTCCCTGAGCTTTGAGTCCTTTTGGCCATTCCATAATCTCCAATACACAGGCCATTCCCTGCAGTCTGACTTCCAAAGCCATTTCCTAAACCCTGAAAGATCACTATTCTGCACATCCACAGCCTCTGCTTAATGCATGTTTCTTTCTCTTCCCTTCTCATCTCAGGGACCTTGTTCACAACAGTAGGAACAGTGGCCTTGGGCCATGAGAGTCCAGGAGTGGTAGATGTGGTGCTGGAAGCACGAGACCATGGGGCTCCAGGCCGCGCAGCACAAGCCACTGTGCATGTGCAACTGCAGGACCAGAATGACCACGCCCCTAGCTTCACATTGCCACACTACCGTGTGTCTGTGACTGAGGATCTGTCCCCTGGTTCCACCCTGCTCACCCTGGAGGCTACAGATGCGGATGGAAGCCGCACCCATGCCGCCGTGGACTACAGCATCATCAGTGGCAACCGGGGCCGAGTCTTCCAGCTGGAACCCCGGCTGGCTGAGTCTGCAGAAGGTGTTGGACCAGGCCCCCAGGTGCTGGGCTGCCTGGTGTTGCTTGAACCTCTAGACTTTGAAAGCCTGACACAGTACAATCTAACTGTGGCTGCAGCTGACCGGGGGCATCCACCCCGCAGCTCAGCTGTGCCGGTCACTATCACTATACTGGATGTCAATGATAACCCACCTGTCTTTACCCAAACATCCTACCACGTGGCAGTACCCGAGGACACACCTGTTGGAGCCGAGCTGCTGCATGTGGAGGCCTCTGACGCTGACCCTGGCCTTAATGGCCTTGTGCGTTTCACCCTCAGTTCAGGTGACCCTTTGGGGATCTTTGAGCTGGATGAGAGCTCAGGTGCCTTGCGACTGGCACACCCCCTGGACTGTGAGACCCAGTCTCGACATCAGCTTGTAGTGCAGGCTGCCAACCCTTCTGGGGCACACTTTGCTTTGGCACCAGTGACAATTGAGGTCCAGGATGTGAATGATCATGGTCCAGTCTTCCCACTGAACCTGCTCAGCACCAGCCTGGCCGAGAACCAGCCTCCAGGCACTCTTGTGACCACTCTGCATGCAATTGATGGGGATGCTGGGGCTTTTGGGAGGCTCCGCTACAGCCTGTTGGAGGCTGGGCCAGGGCCTGAGAGCCGTGAGGCATTTGCTCTGAACAGCTCAACTGGGGAGTTGCGGGCCCGTGGGCCCTTTGACTATGAGCACACAGGAAGCTTCCGTCTGCTGGTGGGTGCTGCCGACAAAGGGAATCTCTCAGCCTCTGTCACTGTGTCAGTACTGGTGACTGGAGAGGATGAGTATGACCCTGTCTTCCTGGCTCCAGCTTTCCACTTCCAAGTGCCAGAAGGTGCCAGGCGTGGCCACAACCTTGGTCACGTGCAGGCCACAGATGAGGATGGTGGTGCTGACGGCCTGGTGCTCTATTCCCTTGCCACCTCGTCCCCTTATTTTGGTATCAACCAGACTACAGGTGCCCTGTACCTGAGGGTGGACAGTCGGGCACCAGGCAGCGGAACGGCCACCTCTGGGAGTGGGGGCCGGACCCGACGTGAGACACCACGAGAGCTGAGGCTGGAAGTGGTAGCACGGGGGCCTCTTCCTGGTTCCCGGAGTGCCACAGTGCCTGTGACTGTGGATATCACCCACACTGCACTGGGCCTGGCACCTGACCTCAACCTGCTATTGGTGGGGGCTGTGGCCGCCTCCTTGGGAGTTGTGGTGGTACTTGCACTGGCAGCCCTGGTCCTAGGGCTCGTTCGGGCCCGTAGCCGCAAGGCTGAGGCAGCCCCTGGCCCAATGTCTCAGGCAGCACCCCTAGCCAGCGGCTCCATGCAGAAGCTGGGCCGGGAGCCACCCAGTCCACCACCCTCAGAGCACCTGTATCACCAGACTCTCCCCAGCTATGGTGGGCCAGGAGCTGGAGGACCCTACCCCCGTGGTGGCTCCCTGGACCCTTCACATTCAAGTGGCCGAGGCTCAGCAGAGGCTGCGGAGGATGATGAGATCCGCATGATCAACGAGTTCCCCCGTGTGGCCAGTGTGGCCTCCTCCCTGGCTGCCCGTGGCCCTGACTCAGGCATCCAGCAGGATGCAGACGGACTGAGCGACACATCCTGTGAGCCACCAGCCCCTGACACCTGGTATAAGGGCCGAAAGGCAGGGCCCGTGGTGGCTCCCTGGACCCTTCACATTCAAGTGGCCGAGGCTCAGCAGAGGCTGCGGAGGATGATGAGATCCGCATGATCAACGAGTTCCCCCGTGTGGCCAGTGTGGCCTCCTCCCTGGCTGCCCGTGGCCCTGACTCAGGCATCCAGCAGGATGCAGACGGACTGAGCGACACATCCTGTGAGCCACCAGCCCCTGACACCTGGTATAAGGGCCGAAAGGCAGGGTTGCTGCTGCCAGGTGCGGGAGCCACTCTGTACCGAGATGAGGGCCCCCCAGCCACTGCCACGGCCTTCCTGGGAGGCTGTGGCCTGAGCCCTGCACCCACTGGGGACTATGGCTTCCCAGCAGATGGCAAGCCATGTGTGGCAGGCGCACTGACAGCCATTGTGGCTGGCGAGGAGGAGCTCCGTGGCAGCTATAACTGGGACTACCTGCTGAGCTGGTGCCCTCAGTTCCAGCCACTGGCCAGTGTCTTCACAGAGATCGCTAGGCTCAAGGATGAAGCTCGGCCGTGTCCCCCTGCTCCCCGTATTGACCCACCACCCCTCATCACTGCTGTGGCCCACCCAGGAGCCAAGTCTGTGCCCCCCAAGCCAGCAAGCACAGCTGCAGCCCGGGCCATCTTTCCACCGGCCTCTCACCGCTCCCCTATCAGCCATGAAGGCTCCCTGTCTTCAGCTGCCATGTCCCCCAGCTTCTCGCCCTCACTGTCTCCTCTGGCTGCTCGCTCACCTGTTGTCTCACCATTTGGGGTGGCCCAAGGCCCCTCAGCCTCGGCACTAAGTGCAGAGTCTGGCCTGGAGCCTCCTGATGACACAGAGCTGCACATCTAGCTGTGGCCCAGGCTGGGCCCCGACCTGGGATGCGCACAGTGTCCCCAATGCAGGTCCCATTCTGAGCCTGCCCTGGGCAGCCTCGGACCATGACTGGCCACGGAGAGGCCACCACCAGGCCCCAGCTCTTCACACCAAACTCCCCTCAGAGCACTAGAACCACAGAGGCCCTCTTGGTCACTGACCTATGGCCAGGTCCAATATGGGGAGAAATATGAAGGAGGTGGCAGCCCTGGGTTCTCCTCAGTGAGGGCTTCCTGCCCTGCACCAGCAGCCTGAGATGGAGCTGAGACTTTATTTATTGGGGGTAGGGGGTTGGGGAAGGTCCCTCCAACCTGTTTGGGCCCAGCTCCTTTGTGTTCCACTGACACCCCTGCCCCTGCCCAGAACCAAGTGCCAATTCTCACTCTGGAGCCTTAATAAACTGCAGTTTGTATCCAGCCTCCGGCTCTGTTCTGTGGGGATGACTGGAAGGCACTAGGCACAGTACTGTGGACATCTCAGGAGGCACAGAGGGGTAGTGGACATGGGCACGTCCAGGGTGGGGACAGGACTGGGAGCACAGGAGCCTAGCCTGAGGCCGACAATCACATCTGTTGTTGATTTTTTCCTTCTAATATTGGCAAGAGGCCAGAGGGGCTTGGCTGTAGCAGCCACCTAGAGATTGATTAGTTGGGCAGGGAGGGATCTTGGGGATGATAAGCTTTAGGCCTGAAGGTCTTAAAAGAGGTGAAGGTAGCTATAAGGGCAGCCAAGTGGTTTTATTTATTTTCATTGCCACTAAATATCCTCATTGCAATAAGAACTCATTTGTTGCGTCTTTGCCATGTCAGGCTCTCTGCTGAGTGATGCTTGTTTTATCTTGGTGTAAATTTTCACTGCAACCCTATGAGGCAGGTCACTGTTATAATAATAGTCTCCATGTTATAAATGAAGAAACCTAGGCTCTAACAGGTTGTTACTTTCCTGATAACATACATCTAGGAATAACCCAGGTCTGTGGGCCTCCAAAGCTCACTCCCTTGTGGTGATTCCCAGGGGGCTGGACTCAGGAAGTTGGTGTGGAACCCTGGGCTTACCCAGTCTTGACTAGCCAGAGGGAGAATCGGAGCGGCAGCCTCACCTTTTCTCAGCACTCAGAACCACCCGTTCAAGGGAGGAGCCAGTACCGTCACTAGTTACTAGGCAGAGGGGTGGTGGAATACAAGGCTCATGTGATCCGTCACGTGACAGCAGATCTGCAGAAAGGAAGAATGGGAGTCCGATCCTGGTGAGAAATTAGAGGGGTCCGGGGGAAGGGGATCACGGAGGGAGTACATGGTGGAGGGTGGGAACACAATGATAGCTCCTACTGAAACCTGCCTGCCAACCCTGCAGCCTCCTAGGGCTCCTTGCCCTCATCGTCACTGGCAAATGCAGTTACAGCCCAGAGCCCGACCAGCAGTGGACGTGAGTTGATTTAGAACTGACCTTTCCTTCCCCATGCCCTGTTCCGTACCCACTGTCCTGGTCCTGGTACCCACTAGCCTCTTTCCTGGGTTCCCAGGCTCAGTTCCCTATCATTCACCTTCTGTGATCCATATCTGCTTCTGGGATCCTATCCAAGGTCTCTCAGCTCCTAATCCAGAACCTTCCATGACCAATATTTCCCATCTTCACCCTAACCAAGGCCATGTCCCGGACTCCTGACCCTATAGGCTGCCCCCAGGCTGGGTGTCCCTGGGCCGCGTGGACCCTGAGGAAGAGCTGAGTCTCACATTTGCTCTGAGACAGCAGAACCTGGAAAGACTCTCGGAGCTGGTGCAGGCTGTGTCGGATCCTGGCTCTCCTCGCTACGGTGACTGATGGGACTGGGGGCAGGATGTGGGATGCAGTGGAAGGACACAGGGCTGGGCTGGGCACGGGACGATGCAGATAATGTCAGGGTCATGCTCTTGGTGCCTGTCAAGTGGGTGATATAGGGCAGATGAATGGCAGTGGCTGTCCTTGTAGAGTTTCTGAATAAAAGAGTGAACTAGAACTTAACTGCCCCAAACTAACTCACATTCTGTCTCCCTAAACTTTCTGCCTGTGTTCCTCAGGCTAGAAACCTAAAAGTGAATGTGGTTAAGAGCACAGGATTCATGATCGGATGTGGTTTCAAATCCTTACTCTACCACTTACCAGCCACCAGACGAATTGGGTAATAGCATCTAGTACATATAGGTGCTTATCAACTCAAGTTCCTCCTGCCATCCTCAAATCCACCCCCATTTCCTCCTCTATTCAGAAACTAAGGCTGCCGGTTTCAATTCCTAAAAGCCTTTAGATTAGTCCTCTTCTCATCCTCTCTCGTTGCTACCAACTCAGCCGTTTATTCTCTTTCCTGGACCACTGCCCAGCCTGACTGATCTGTAGTCTCCTCCCTTCACCCCACTACACACTGTACTCCCCACTCTGCTCCCCAAAATTCTCTCCAGCGGTCAAACTGGAATGTATTCTTCCCCTGGTTAAAGCCCTTCATGGATTGCTCCCGCGCCTCGCTCAGCCAGTGAGCAGGAACCGGTCTGTATATGGGATCCGAACCCTCGGACGGGAGCGCTGCCGCGCTTCCCAAGCAGCGCACTATCCAGTGCGCCACCGGGCCGCCCCTTATATTTATTTTTGTATGTGTAAACTCTTTCCCTATTTAATGTCATTCAATTATATGGCTTCAAACTATGTTGCCCTCAAATTATAGTGTTCAGTCATGACATTTTATTTTGAATTCCACATTTGGATATCTACTACCTATATAACATCTCCTATTGGATGTTTTAGAAGTATGTCTAACTTAATATTGTCCCAAACTGCAAACAATCCAAATGCATTAGGGTTCTCCAGAGAAACAGAATTAAGAGAGAGAGAGAGAGAGAGAGAGAGAGAGAGAGAGAGAGAGAAAACGAGAGAACAAGAACACTGGAGGTGGGGAAGAGGGGCAGTCTCAGATTCACGTGAGAGGCTGGCTCCATGCAGGAAATAGTGACTCACCATCATGTTAAGTTTAAAATCAACAAGCATGAAGATTTGAGCTAAATCAGATGTTATTTTAAAATTGGCTCCAAAAGTTTCATAAAGTTTTATCAGAAATAAGCTTCAAATGGAAAATTTAAGTGTATTAATCTCATTATTTTTCATGATCATGTCAATGTATGCTGTGGTGCAGCATTTGCAACCTACTGGCCTTTAGGATAAATCTATATTCTTGGTCATGGCATTCCAAGTCTTTCCAGTCTTTTTTTCTCCTTCACCCAAATACACCCTGCACCTGCATAGCCCTTCTTTACCCTGTTCCAGGCTCCCTGGGAAGTCCTGATATCTCCTGCTAGAGGTCCAAAGAGGGCAACTTGGGAAAGCCATCAATGAAAGCAAGAGCCTCTTCTGAATCCCTGCAGGAAAATACCTAACCCTAGAGGATGTGGCTGAGCTGGTCCGGCCATCACCACTGACCCTCCACACCGTCCAAAAATGGCTCTTAGCAGCTGGAGCCCGGAACTGCCATTTAGTGACCACGCACGACTTTCTGACTTGCTCGCTGAGCGTCCGGTGAGAGGGAATGGTTGTCCCATGGAGAGCACCAATCATCCCATCAGGGAGACTAGTCTCCCCAATGGGAGGGAGTTGAGAGCTTGCTGGGGGCTTGTGGGTGGGAGCTAACACATGGGGAGATGATGACTGACTGCCCAGTGGTACTCAGGCAGCCTCCTCTGCTCCATTTTGTGCTTTCTGACCTCTGTTCTCTGATCTCTGACTTCCAGACAGGCAGAACTGCTGCTCTCTGGGGCTGAGTTTCATCGCTATGTGGGGGGACCTGCAGAGACCCATGTTGTAAGGTCCCCACGTCCCTACCAGCTCCCTCAGGCCTTGGCCTCCCATGTGGACTTTGGTAATACACATTGGGGTTGGTGGGGGTTGGGGCAGGCAGATCAAGTGGCTGAGGAAGTTTAGAATGCCACTGGGGGCTTGGGGTGGGGTCAGTGGTAAAGTGGGTACTGGAATCTATAAGATCTCCTCCTCAAGCCTGACCCCTCCCCACAGTGGGGGGATTGCACCGCTTTCCCCCCACATCATCCCTGAGGCAACGCTCTGAGCCACAGGTGGCACAGACTGTTGGCCTGCACCTGGGGGTGACCCCATCCGTGATCCGTGAGCGATACAACTTGACGGCACAAGACGTGGGCTCTGGCACCAGCAACAACAGCCAGGCCTGTGCCCAGGTGAGCCAAGCAGAGAGCCCCCGGATCCTCACAGCCTCCCCATGGTGTCCTCAGTGCCTTACCACCATCTGACCCATAAACCCCACTCTGACTCCTTCCATAGTTCCTGGAGCAGTACTTCCATGCCTCAGATCTGGCTGAGTTCATGCGCCTCTTTGGTGGCAACTTTGCACACCAGGCATCAGTAACCCGTGTGGTTGGACAACAGGGCCGGGGCCGGGCCGGGCTCGAGGCCAGTCTAGATGTGCAGTACCTGATGAGCGCTGGCGCCAACATCTCCACCTGGGTCTACAGCAGTCCTGGTACTGCCAACGGGACTGGCTGGTGGGGAAGGGGGTGGGAAATAGGTGTTGATCCCTGCTCCTTCAAAGGAATGTCATGAGCTGGAGGGAGATCCTGACAACCTCCCAATGATTTTCCTTGTGTCCATCCCTCAAAAAAAAAATCCAGGCCGGCATGAGGCACAAGAGCCCTTCCTGCAGTGGCTCCTGCTGCTCAGTAATGAGTCAGCCCTGCCACATGTGCATACCGTGAGCTATGGAGATGACGAGGACTCCCTCAGCAGCGCCTACATCCAGCGGGTCAACACTGAGCTCATGAAGGCTGCTACTCGGGGTCTCACCCTGCTCTTTGCCTCAGGTGACCTCCTACTCTAAACGTAGACCCCTCATCCTCCAACCCAACCTGGGAGCTTTGACCCTACAGTGATCTCTGAACCTGGTCTCTTTATTCATAATCTAAACTCAGACCCTCAATAAGGACCACTGACCTGACCTCTAAACTCTGACCTCCTACAACAACAACTGGCACCTGAATTTCCTCTCTGACATCTGAACCTATATACCAAGCCCTGACCAATTTATATGAGAGTGCTAAACTTGCTTTCTCTCCCAGGTGACAGTGGGGCTGGGTGTCGGTCTGTCTCTGGAAGACACCAGTTCCGTCCTAGCTTCCCTGCCTCCAGGTAAGCACCCCAGACTATTTACCTGTAACCACAAATCTTTCACCTGTGACCTCATGATCCAGAACCTTAGCCTTGACCCTACCAGGTGCTCCTATGGCACAGCCCTCAGCTTTACCTGCTCTGGTTGCTGCGCTCCCCTCTCTTCTTCCTATAGGTCCCATGCCCCAGTCTCCTGAGTGGGACACAGCTCCCAGTGTTCCTCTTCCTCAGTCCCCAGGCATTTTAGTGGAAGATTTGGTAGGTGTCCTGTAGAGTAATCACCTCAGGCCACTCCTTGAGGGCTCAAAACCTCATAGCCAACCTTATGCACATGCTTCCCCAGAGTCTAGCCCCTCCAGCAAGACCCAGCCCAAGTCATGCTCACCTATTTCTACATATCTTAGAGGCCCCTTTGGTCCCCTATCTGAATGCTGTCTTCTGCCCTCAGCCCCTATGTCACCACAGTGGGAGGCACATCCTTCCAAAATCCTTTCCTCGTCACAAATGAGGTTGTTGACTATATCAGTGGTGGTGGCTTCAGCAATGTGTTCCCAAGGCCTTCATACCAGGTACGTGTATGTTTGTGTGGATGGAGAGGGAGTACGGGTGAGGGATCCTCAGTCCAGTAGACTGTTGGGCAGGCCACAGGCCAATACTCTCTCAACAATGCTTTTCAGGAGGAAGCTGTATCCCAGTTCCTGAGCTCTAGCCCCCACCTGCCACCATCTAGTTACTTCAATGCCAGTGGCCGTGCCTACCCAGATGTGGCTGCACTTTCCGATGGCTACTGGGTGGTCAGCAATAGGGTGCCCATTCCATGGGTGTCTGGAACTTCGGTGAGAATTAGCCTTGCTTCAAACCCCACACAGAAACTACCCTTTCCCCCAACCACAAGATCTTGCACCTAGAACCTCTGATTCTTCAGAGACCTCTGATATTTCAACTTTTTGCACTTTTTGAATACCCCTCATATTCTCTCTCCTATGAATTATAGGGCACCCTTTCAAAAAGTGTCCTTACTTTCTGCACGTCCCTAAACACCCCTCCCAGAAAGTCCAATCACTCTGAACACTTACCTCTACTTGCACCTTTACCCTTGCAGGCCTCCACTCCAGTGTTTGGGGGGCTCTTATCCTTGATAAATGAGCACAGAATCCTCAGTGGCCGTCCCCCTCTTGGCTTTCTCAACCCAAGGCTGTACAAACAGCGTGGGACAGGACTCTTTGATGTGAGTGTGGAAGGGAAGGTGTGGATGTTTTCATATAACTATGGGGAGTACTAAGATGAACTTGGGGGCAGTTCTGTTGGGATAGGATAGCCTCTGAGATGTGAGTACAGGGTGAGGAGATGTAGTCTGTTAGTACTGGTGCCACCAGGCCCAGATCTGATGGCCATCTCCTCCATAGGTAACCCGTGGCTGCCATGTGTCCTGTCTCAATGAAGAGGTGGAAGGTCAGGGTTTCTGCTCTGGCCCTGGCTGGGATCCTGTGACAGGCTGGGGAACACCCAACTTCCCAGCTCTGCTGAAGGCACTACTCAACCCTTGACCCTTTCCTGCCAGGATAGCTGACCTGTCCCCTGCCTTGCAGCTTGGTCCCTTATTCTGCCCTGTTGGAATTCCTGCTGAACCTTTAACTGTTGACTGCTGTAGACAGCTTATCTCCTTAACACTGAAATGCTGTCAGCTTGACCTCACTCCCAACCCTACCCTGCTCTATCACACTCAGGTCTTCCTACTCCTGCCTGTTTCTTCAACAAGATGCTACAACCAGCATTTTTTGCACACCAATCTCTTCTTGCTCTTTTCAACCAGGCTTTTCCAAAGGGTTCTCTACACTGACTATGTGCACTATTTTACTTCATATTTGCTCAGGCACACCAATCTCTTCTTGCTCTTTTCAACCAGGCTTTTCCAAAGGGTTCTCTACACTGACTGTGTGCACTATTTTACTTAATATTTGCTCATTTCATTGCAATGGTACCTCTGCTCTCACCTTTTACTCTTTCCTCCTGTAACACTGAGGAACAATGGCCTCATGTGCACTATTTTACTTAATATTTGCTCATTTCATTGCAATGGTACCTCTGCTCTCACCTTTTACTCTTTCCTCCTGTAACACTGAGGAACAATGGCCTCCCTGCTGCTTCATCCAGTGCACATGTCTCAGTCTTTGCTCTATGGCCTTTCCTTCATAGTTGCCCACTCCCTCTCCTTCCATAGCTTCCAGGGCTTAAATTCTCTGACCACTCTTGTCTTTTTCTTTCATGTACTTCTTTCTCTGCTTCTGCATGGGATGCTGGTGTTCTTCATTGCTCCATCCTTAGTCTTTTGCTCTTCTCACTTTACTTATCGTCCCCCTGGAACAGATAACTGACATCTACAGCCATCTCCATCTCACTAAATCAGACTTTCTATCCAGTAGTGATTGATACCTCAAATGTGAGATGTGTGATACTCAACATTTCAGCTCCTCCTTTCCACCCCCAAACTACTCCATTTCTTGTTTCTTGTTGGTAAACGTTAATACTATGCTTCTTCTGCTCAAGCCAGAAACATGTGGTATCCACGACTTCCATTTCTTTCACCCCGCCTTCAATCAATAAGCCCCACTGACTTTACCTCTGAAATACATCTTTATCAATCCACAAGTCCTTTCAATTATATTTCCCAAGTATGTCTAGAACTTATTCACTTCTCTCCATCCCCAGTTCTACTACATTGGCTTAAACCCCTATGAAGGCACTTCAAAAAGTTCGTGGAAAAATAGAATTAGAAGATAATATAAATCTAGGTTGGCCATTTAGCTCAGTTGGTTACAACACGTTCTTATAACACCAAGGTCAAGGGTTTGGATACTTGTACCAGCTAGCCACCAAAAAACAAAAAGAAAATAAAAGAAGAAAGATAATGTAAACCTTTCCATGAACTTTTCGAAGACCCCTCATATTCTCACTGTTCTGAATTATAGGAGGAACTTGCAAAAACAGTGTCTTTACTTCCTGCCCATCCCTAAACCATCTTCCAGAGTAAAATGCAAATCCCATCAGGCCATTTACTTGATTAAAACCTTTCAAAGATTACTTGGTAAAGTTCAGGCTTTTTATCATGGCTCTCAAACCTTCTTTGCTATTTGTTCCTAATAAATCATTTTTCCTCCCCTCTCTTCAACCCCCAAAGAACTTTCACCTCTGTCCAAATTATTCCATCCCCTTAACACCACCCCGATACAATTGCCTAGCTGATTACTAGATTCTTTCCGGACTCAGCTGAGACATCACCTTCTCTTGTAAAGGTTTTGATACCCTGAGGCTAGATGACTTTGGTACAGAAGGAAAATCCTACATTTTCAAAACCAAACCTGTTTGAATTTTGCTTCTGATATAAACTAGGAGAGCATTGGGCAAGTACGTTTATCTCCCTGAGCCTGCTTCCTTATCTCGGTGGGGATATCAGCACCTGCCTTTCATAATAATCAAGGAAGAATTACGTGGAATAATGTTGATAGAGTGCAACAAGTGTTGGAAGTTGGCAGATGTTCGTCCCCTTCCTCCCTTGCACTACACACCCTGTGCCTACCTCTACCACTGTAACGACCACACAGCACTGAAATTGCCAGGTTTTTTTTGGTTTTTTGTTTTTTTGCCTCTCTTTCCAAAACCGTTGGTGCCTAGAGGACTAGACTCTTGTTCTGCTTAACTCTGTATTCCCAGGCCCAGCTCAGGAGTTGGCAAATAGGAATTAAAATAAACGTCAGCTGAATTGAAAACCTCTCGCCTTCAATCGCTGTGACTGCGTATGTTGTTTACTCGGCATTAATACCTCCCTCTCCGTCTGCAGCAGCACTGTGTACCGCCCTCCTGCTGCCCTCACCTCTCGGGGCAGTTGGCGGGGAGGGGCGGCTTTCCAACTCCCCCCACGAACCCTTAAACGGCTGAATAAGGGAACTAGTAAGGATGCAGACTCGCAGACAACCCGTAGTCGAGGGGCGTCGGGCGGATGAGCCCCAAAGCAAGGGGCTCATCGAGCGCCAAGCTGAGGAGGTGTCTCGGACGTACAGCGGTCCCCACACGGCGGGACAGCTCTGGAGCACCGCGGGACGTGGGGCGGGGTGACCACCGCAGCTCAGTTCCCCGAGGCTCGTCCCCGCCCTCCAGTGTTTTATTTAACGGACCAACAGGCAACGAGAGGAGGCTGGAGGCGGGAGGGAGAGAGCTCTGACTGTGCCGTAATGGGCCGGGCGAGTAGCGGGGTGTGTGACGTCTCCCGGGGCCTGCGTAACGTGAGCGGAAGCGGAAGCGGCTCTGTTCGCCGCCTCTTCCACCGGCCAGATGAGCTGCAGCGGCTCCGGCGCGGACCCCGAGGCGGCGCCAGCGCCTGCCGCCTCGGCCACGGGCCCGGCGCCCCCGGTCTCGGCCCCCGCCGCGCTCCCCGCCAGCACCACCGCGGAGAACAAGGCCAGCCCCGCGGGGACTGCAGGGGGGCCTGGGGCTGGAGCCGCTGCTGGGGGCACGGGATCCGTGGCAGCACGGGCCGGGGAGCCTGCCGAGCGGCGCGGGGCGGGTGAGGGCCGGGACGGGTGAGGGTGCGGGAAGTGCCATGGACTGGGCCCAGCTGCGGATGAGGGCAGAGGGTACAAGGCAGACCTAGCTGGGGCTCTGCGCCTCTCACCCCGGCGTCTCAGTTGCTGGTTCTCTTCCAGCTCCGGTGTCGGCCGGCGGCGCGGCGCCTCCGGAGGGGGCCATGTCTAACGGGGTTTACGTACTGCCGAGCGCGGCCAACGGAGACGTGAAACCCGTGGTGTCCAACACACCTCTGGTGGACTTCTTGATGCAGCTGGAGGATTACACCCCTACGGTGGGCTTCCCGCCTGAACAAGGCCATCTGGCCGGCTGTCATGCCAACGTTCAGCAACACCTCCGTGCTTTCCAGCGTCCTCTTATATTTGCTCCCTTACTAGCTCTTCTGACTTATTCCCTCTGCCCACCCAAACTGAGCTTCCCGCTAGGCAGGCCTGTCCTCCATTTCCCTCACCCTCCTCCCACTTGCAGCCCAGCAGGGCACAGGGCTAACACTGACAGTTGTCTAATTGATTTCTCAGATCCCAGATGCAGTGACTGGTTACTACCTGAACCGTGCTGGCTTTGAGGCCTCAGACCCACGCATGTGAGTAAACCCAGGGCAGGTTAGAGTTTTGGGTGCTTGTGCAGTTGTTGTCCATCTCCTTCTCATACCGGTTTTTTTCTCTCTAGAATTCGGCTTATCTCCCTAGCTGCCCAGAAATTCATCTCAGACATTGCCAACGATGCCCTACAGCACTGCAAAATGAAGGGCACAGCCTCCGGCAGCTCCCGCAGCAAGAGCAAGGTGTGAGGGGAGGCACATTGAATCAGCAATTACTCTCCACAGCAGTGAGGCTTAACCTATCCTGAAACCCCTTTGGGGAAACTTAAGTCCTAGGGGAGGTATAAGACCTACTTAGGGTCACCCACCTGGGATTGAAATCTGGGATTCCTGTGCTCAGCTGGTGCTCTTCCCTCTTCCCTCAGGACCGCAAGTACACTCTAACCATGGAGGACTTGACCCCTGCCCTCAGCGAGTACGGCATCAATGTGAAGAAACCGCACTACTTCACCTGAGCCACCCAACTTAAATGTACTTGTCTATCCCCATGTCCCCACACCAGCCTGTTTTCGTAATAAACTTTATTGTGACAGGCGGGGCTGATCCCTCCCATGCTGGGAGACACCGTGTGGCAAGTGACAAAGCTCTGAGCCTGGCCCCTTTTGGGGCCACAGTGGTAGGGATGGAGGCAGGGGATGGGCCCCATGGCTGGGGTAGTACCATGACAGAAAGCAGAGAAGGCACCCAGAGGCCTGCTGTTTTGGGGAGGTGCACTCCCCCAACCATGTCCTGACACCTCTGGAGTTTAGGCAAGGACCTTCTGATTCTATTTATCTTGCATCTTCTCCAGAATAGGTACAATCATGTCAAACTTTGGTCGCTTAGCAGGGTCTTCATTCATGCAGATCTTCATGAGCTTACACACATGGGGGGAAATACCTGGTGGGATAGTAGGCCGAAGGCCTTCCAGTGCCACCTGCAAATACAAGGAAAAACAAGGTGAGCCTCAGAATTTGAGTCTGTCATGTGGGGAGAAGCCTCTGGCCCTTGGGACAGGATTACTGTATATCTGAACAAATGTGGGAAAAGCCCAGGCCCACTACGATTATTGTCATTACCACCACCACCACCATTCTCCCAACCCAAGTGTGTGCAGTTTTGCTCTCACCTTCATTCCAATCTCCATGTTGGAGAGGTCAGCAAAGGGTACCTCCCGTGTCACCAGTTCCCACAGGAGCACTGCAAAACTCCACATGTCTGCTGAGCGTCTGTTTGTGTCTTCAGGCTTTTTCTGCAGAGCTAGAGGGACAGGTCTTGTCTGCTCCAGCTACCTGGCGTGGCCTGTCTGCCCCCTTCCATAACTACTGAGCTGGTCCTTCTCTGCCTCCCAACACGATGCCCTCACCCACCTTCAGGGGCCACCCAGGCAGGTGCATACATGCGTCCAGGGCATTGGAAAGAGAACTTGACATCGGCCATGCTGATTCGGGCAGTCATGTCCTCATCAATCTGAGGAAGAGAAGATAAATATGTGGAAGGAGGTGAGTCCTATTCTAGATAGACAAAGGGCTTTTGGGGACTGACCAGGAGTGAATTTGGGGCCTCACCATTACACTACGGCTATTGAGTGCATGTCGTGGAATGAGGGGCTCTAGTGTGTGTAGGAAGGCCATGCCCCTTGCCATGTCCAAAGCAAACTTCACAGCCTGGCTCTGGTCCACAACGAAATCTGAGAGAGGAGGCAAGAGTCAAATAGTTTAAGAGAAGCTCACACATCCCCTCTCCCATTCCCTCCCCAAGAAGATTCAGCATCTCACTCACTGGTGCCTTCATGCAGTACATTGTAGAGAGATCCATATGGCATCCAGTGTGTGATGAGGGTGGGGTGAGGAGCAGGTGGAGACTGGCAGGCACCTAGCACTGGGAGCACATTTGGATGCGAGAAAATCCTATGAGAGGGAGAGAGTGTTCCTGGCTGAGACCCAGCATAAAAGATCCCTCTCAGTGCTATTCAGGGTTCCTTGGAACCAACAGCTTCCAGTTTAGGCCTTGCCCCACCTGAGCCGGGGACACTCCTCATTGAAGTCCCTGCTCTTCCTTGTACTCCAGTCTCGAACCTTCAGCACCTTCACAACAATGTCATTGCCCTGCCAGCGACCCTTCCATAACTGAAAGACAGGTAGGGTTAGCAGGCTTTAAGGCCACTACGTCCTTGCCCACTAATTAGAGGAAAAACTTAAAAGGTGCAGAGCAGGTAATTTGTGGGGGTTTAGGGAGGGAGGGGCAAGAAGAGAAGGGGTCACCTCTCCAGAGTGATTCTCGTTGAGCTTCGCCAGAAAGTTGAGCTGTTTGAAGTCAATTCCAGAGTGTTTGTTCAGGGTCCCATTTCCTGAGAGTGCGGGCAGGTCAGGTACCCAGCTTTGCCCTAACCATCCCTAGGAGCTCAGGATTATTCTCTCTTACAACCCCTCCCCCCACAACAGTGACTCACGGGGCCGAGTGCGGGTGGTCCCCTTCCAGAATGTATCCTTGTATGGAATACGGTTGAGATTCTGGCCCATCTTCTCTGCCCGCTCTGGGGAAGAAAGTCTTAGCTTGAGCTGTGGTATGGAGGAAGGAGACAGGCAGGGAGGGATAAGACAAGAGGATACAGGCTAGGAGGTGGGAGACAGACCTCGGAGAAGCTCTCTCAGGGGTGCCTTAGCTTTGTCCACAGGCATCTCTCCATACTTGTTACAGATGCTGACAAGGGCCCCATTAGCCACCAGGTCCTGGAATGAAAAGGTCGTTGTGATGAAGGACCCTGCTACCTTCCTGGCTGTCACAACCAACCATGAACACACAGATGTGGTACACAACTCTGTCACAGTAGTACTGACAGGATGGGTTGACGGTTCCAGAATCTCTACTCAGGCAGACTTTGCTTCCCACCCATCCCAGGACTCAGGGCCTGAGTACTTACCTCTGCCACCTGGTCCTGACCCCAAAAACAGGCATAGTGCAGGGGCACATTCCCATGCTCATTCACTGCATTGATGTCAGCCTTGTACTGCAATAGCTGGCCCAGTGGCCAGACAAAAAGAAGAGGCAGAAGGCACAGTCAATCCCAAATGAGATACCAGTGTCAGGGCACAGGAAAAGGGAAAAATACACATACTTTCTTCCGTATGTTACAGTGTCTATGACTGACCTCATGGCATGTATGTGATGTGGGCAACAGAGGGATTTGTACATACCTTCTGTACAATATCACGGTGTCCATGACTGGCTGCCAGGTGCAGGGGGGTGTCATCCCCACGGTTCATCACATTAATCCGTGCCCCCCGCATGATCAGCATCTCAACCACGGCAGAGCGGCCCTCTCGGCAGGCCCAGTGCAAGGGGGAGAAGCCATGATCATCCCTTTGAAGAAGCGTAAATGGTCACTGAATTGGAGGTGGGATGAGGCACAGGCTTTCATTTATGAAAAACTGATAGTCACTCTCCATACTCTCGGAGAAGGCTTACGTCTCTAGGACTTTGATTCTCATTCACGCCAGCAACTTCTAAAGCTGTCCACTTCAGACCTTCCCCAGAGCTTCAGACTCAACCAACCACCTAGATATCCCAACAACTCCATGAGAAGATTCACTACCTTCACCACCATCTCCCACACTTTTTCTTCCCTGGCATACCCTATCTCATTAAATGGTAACACTCTTCACCTGGTTTCCCCTGCACCCCTTTTGCCATGTCTATTGGTCCTTTCTGTTTTCCACTGTATCTTGTACATCCCCTTACTATAGCACTTGTCACACTGGATTGTACAAATCTGTTAATGGGCTGTCTCGTTTCTTAACTTCTTGAGGGAATGGATTGACAGCTGGTGTTCTAGTGCATGCCCATGGGGGAGAGGGGAATCGAGAATACAGGCCACAACTCATGGGAGAAGGAGCAAACTTACTGCTTGGCTCTGGTACTGACACTAACATCTAAAAATGGAATGGAATTATAATGGTGTTTTGGTAGGGTTTATAATAAAAAGGAGAAGTGCTTTTGATTACTGATGAGGCAGATAACAAACCATCACACAAAACAGGATTCTCTACTTAGCAATCCCAGGCACAGAAAACAAGAAATAAGAATGGCTGCTTTAGAATGAAAACTATACCTGACTTTTTTTCCCCCAAGGACATATTTATAACATAGAAGTGTACAAACAAAACAAAACAATTGGGTGGGAGCTGGGTCTGCCTGACAGCCTGGGGCCATAAAAGGAAATTCCCTCCAGTCCCAGACTGCAGATCCAAGGGGTGGAGCAGGAGGCAGTCCATGGTCTGGGCCAGCAGCCTCCAGATGCCTTAGTGCTGTGGTCACTTCCTGTGTGGGGGCTCTAGGCGAGGCCTGCAGCTGATCAGGGGTCTAGCCACCCAGACACCCGGACAGACCAAGGGGGTGGGGGTGTGGCCTTTAACTTAATCTTTATTTCCCTTTGCAGCTTGCCCTCATCTGCTCACACAGAAATAACCAAAAGCTTTTCCTGGATGTGGGTATCCCCGTGGAAGCAAGTATACTCCCTACTTATCAGTCACTTGTGCCTCCCAGACCTTTAATTTGTGCCTTCACTTATCAGCCTCCAGCAGCCTGTGGCCCCAGAGCAGGCCAAAGCATGGGCACAAGAGTTCTGCCTACTGTCAGGCTGCCTGTCATCTCAGATTCTGGGCTTTAATCTCGAGGAAGCCTGCAGGAAATTAACCCCCTCCTTATATCCAGCATATACCAGTTTGGGCCCTCATATTCTGTCCCCTCAAACTAGCACCAAAACCTTCCATTTTCACTAATCCCACCCCTTCTTCGCCTTTTGGCAGTGAAGAGTCTTCCTAGATGCCAAGCCCGCTGGGCAACTTTGCCTAAGCTTCTATTTCCTCAACAACATAGTAACAGTGCTCACTGTCTTTATCAGAGCACCCTTTGAAAATTATATGAAAAATGGAACAAATGACTTTGCAAGTTATTAAGAACAAATAGTGTAGAGCCTAATGGGAACCAGTGAAGTCTGGACTAAAATGATAGGTGATTCTGACCTTTCAAGCCTAAAAACTAAACTCTCCTAACCCTAAAAAATTAAAATCCACCACCCTGAATCACCATCACTCCTGCTTTTCTTGGCTTACTATCTCAGCCAGCCTTAAAGAACTTGTCTACATTCACTTTCTTTTCTCATCTCTCATTTACTTTTCAATTTGCCACAAGTCTGCTGCCTGAGGACAGAGATTATGTCTGATTCTGGGACTCTAACACCCAGCACAGGGTGTTTTGTACAGTTCCCTAAATGAAAGAACCCAATATAGTCTGTTTTTTTCACTTGTTATTCTTCTGAAACAGCACTCACAGTGATCATCAAATATATCTTTTTTTTTTTTTTTTTTTTTTAACGATGACCGGTAAGGGGATCTTAACCCTTGACTTGGTATTATCAGCACCACACTCTCCCAGTGAGCCACTGGCTGGCCCAAATATATCCTAATTTTAAATTCAATGGTTAAAGTGCTCCTGTTCTTTGATCTCTCAGTAGCTGATAGTACTGTTGGCCACTCCCCCCTCCTGAAATCATTCTCTAAGCTTTACTCCTGTTTTCCTATTTTTCAACTTCTGATTGCTCCTTTTCAGCCTCACTGGCTTCTCATCCCCTTATTCCCCTCATCTCTTAAACACTCTCCTTCAACCCATGTCTTTGGGTATCATCTATATGGTAGTGTCTCCCAAATCTGTGTCTCCAAGTCAGATCTCTCTCCTGAACTCCAGATCTGCTTAAGCAACAACCTACTCAACATTTCCACATTGCTGTATTGTCATCTTAACTTTAACGTGTCCAGAATAGAACACCTCATCTTCCTTCAGTTTTCTCCATCTCAGTAAAAGCAACCACCAAGCTAGAACTCTGGTCATCATCTTTGACCTTGCTTGCCTCCCACACCAAGTCCTACCAAATCTTCATCCTAAAGATTTCTGGCATCTGATCACTTCTCTATTTCACCGCCCCCTCCCCCCCATTCCCGTTCAAGACATTCTCACTTCTAGAATGGACTAAGTAATTGACTCCTTCCCACTGCTCTTCACAAAGCATCCAAGATGATACTTAACAAATGGACAATCTCATCATATCACTACACAGCTTTAAAACCTTGCTCTTAGAATAAGGACCTCATTATGGCCTAAATATGCTTGCATGATCTAGCTGACCCATGGAGATAGCTTCAGCCTTTTCTCCTGTCCTTCTCCATTTGTACTCAATGCTTCCGCTCCCAGAGATCTATCCTCCAGCCATATGCAACTACTGACAATTTCCTGGCACTGTGTCTTGCCGCCTAGCCTTTGCCCATGCAATACGCTGAGGCTGGAAAGCTCTCTGCAGCCTCTGCTTGTGAAACTCTTCAGCAGTCAAGATTGAGCTCAAACACTGCTTCCTCTATGGAGACCCCCACAGGCTGTGCTTAACACTCATCACACTGGAAAGCAAAGTCAGCCACCCCCGCCAGACGTGAGCACCCCACGTAGCGGAGAGGAGTAGATCTCCAACCTTCGTCTCACCCACCAGCCGCTTCAGCTCACCCCTGGTTGAGGTCGTTCTCCGTGTTATCCAGCCACAGGCGCACAGCAACCGCGTTGCCCTCCCGGCACTGAGTGAAAATGTCGTCCATAGCGGCGTCCCGGCGCTGAGTCCCCTGGATTGGGGAAGGCTGGGGATTGTGGGGGGATCACGGGAAGGGGAACGAGCCCCAAGCTTTGTGCCCTACAGGAGAGAATTGTTTGTGTTGGGGTGGGGGGCCTGGGCTCTGCGTTCTTGGCTAGTGGGGTCTGTGAAAGAGTTCGGGGCAGCGGGATAATCCACTATTATGGACCCTGGGCGCGAAGGAAAGGTGGGTCCGGGCGGGGCAGGAGGTTATTACGAGGTAGTATCTCCTGAAGAGATGTCAAGGAGCAGGCAAGGAGACCCCTACCTGCTAACAAACCTGCGGAAAGCAGGGAGGTTCAGGCTCCGTAAACCCTGGGGGAGGGGAGGGGGGTCCTTCCCGGGAGTGGCCCCCGTTCCCTATTCGGACCTCAGGCGAATGAGGGGCGACTGGTCGGCAGAACCCCAGTCGTGGGTAGGGGGCGCGGGTCCTCCCGCACTCACCGGGACTCGGGCCGGAGGGTCCTTCTCCGGGGAACTCCCGTCCGGCCGCGCCCGCCGCCCGGCCCCGCCCCTGGCCCTCTTCGGCCAGCGCGGACCTCCTTCCCTCCCTTCCTCCCGCCTCCCTTGCCCTTCTAGCTCAGGAGTGTCTGAACTCGATGGTTTCCTGCGCCGCGCCGGCCGCTCTAGCCGCCCCTGGCTTTCAGCTTTGGGTTTCCGGCTCCGTTCTGGCGTTTCTGGGCCCTCTGATTTGCAAAGACGCGCTCGCACGTGGACGGGAGCGTGGACTCTGCGATCCTGCCCTCCTGACCCGTATGTTCGAGGAGCCTGAATGGGCCGAAGCGGCCCCAGTAGCCGCGGGCCTCGGGCTGGTAACCCCACGTCCTCGACTCGCGGCAACCTCTCAAGTCAAGGTGAGTAGCCCCGCAGTAGCAAAGGAAGCTATTTCTGGCGGTAAAGCGGATCCTGTTGGATCTCTGCGCTGGGGCACGCTGTGTGTGTGTATTGGGGGTTGGGGGTAGCGAGTCCTGATCTGAAGATCCGGGAACTTCTAAAAGAAAATGACGTTGGAGCTGATAGTTGGTGAGAAATTGGTGAAGCAAAGAGGGTTCCTTGGACAGGAAACGCACGTGCAAAGGTTTTGGGGCAAGAGAGCATGTTCTGTTAGAGTCACACACAAAAAAGTGATCCGGGAGGTTGGAGCAGAGAATAAATTTGAGGGGATGCTGTTGAAGTTGAAGAGGTAGATAAGAAGTTTTGCATATATTAAGGATAGAGAGAAGCCAATGAAGTGTTCTTAGCAGCGGAGTGCTTTCTTCAGATGTGTATTTTATAAGGTCGTTGGTTGTAGTGTAAAGAATGGATTAGAGAGAATAAGGGTGGGTTGTCAGTATCACCGTTCAAGGGAGGGTGGGGGGAACTGAGCACCTCCAATCCAAGGTAAGTGGACTTCAACGCAGAATCAGCTTCCTGGACAAGAGACCTTCTTTTTTGAGTCTCTGCAGATGTGAGAGCTGTTGTGCTGCCTCAGGATTTTCCTGTCCTTCAGTCAGCCTCCAGCATTTAATCAGCCAGCTTTGTTTCCCCCCTTTTTAATCACTCAGCCCATTGTCATAATCCAGGCCACTGTCCTCTTTGTCTGCAGCTTCTCCTCTTCAGCTTGTTATCTACACTGCAGTTAGAGACATATTGAATCCACATATGAGATCCTGTCCCTCCTGTGTTTAGAAATCTCCCTACCTCTTATAGAAAGGCATCAGCTGGAGGCAAAAGCCTGAGATGGAGGGTTGGAACTCCTGGCCTCTGGCCTTGGCCCAGTTGCTTGTAGTCTTAGCACATACCTCCAGGGAGTCTCCATTACTTCATTTACATATCAAAGAAAGTGAGGTGGTGGTTTCTCTGCCCTCCAGCCTCCTAAAGGTTGGGATAGCGACATGAAAGTTCTTCTGGGTCTGGAGGGCTTAACAACTAGCTACTGTGAAGAATCCAGATTCAGCCTTTGTCAGCGTCTGAATCAGGTCTCCATATCACCCTTCTTATTCTCCAGGCTTCATCCATTCTCCTCGCCCCTGCTCTCATCCCTTATTTTCCCCCAGGGCTCCAAGCGCCGCCAGCTCTTGGCCACATTACGGGCCCTGGAGGCAGCATCTCTTTCCCAGCAACCCCCCATCCTACCTGGCAGTGACTCTGAGGAGGAGGAGGTGGAAAGGAAGAAGAAACGCCCCCAAAAGACCTTGTTTGCCAATGCCTCTACTGAAGTAGGGGAGAAAAAGAAGAAGAAATGTCAAAAACAGGGCCCACCTCGCAGTGACTCTGAGAAAGAGGAAGTGGAAAGGAAGAAGAAATGCCACAGAGGGGCTCTCGACAGTGACTCTGCTGAACAGAAAAGAAAGAGGAAATGTCAGAAACATGCCCCTTCAAACCCAGCCCAGCACCTGGACAGTGTTGAGCCAACAGGTACCTCTGACATGTGTATGTGTGTTTAGGGATGGGAGGTAGTCAGCTGATTCTACATACAGCAGAGGTTACCCACCACTGTAAGGATTGGGACTAGGCAATAAGAAGTACAATTGACCCTTGAACAATGTGGGGTTAGGGGTGCCGACCCCTCATGTGGTCGAAAATCTGTGTATAACATTTGACTCCCCCAAAACTTAACTAGTAATAGCCTGCAGTCGACTGGTAGCCTTACTGATAACATAAACAGCTGATTAATACATATTTTGTATGTTATACTTTTTTTTTTTTTTTTTTTTTTGGTGGCTGGTTGGCACTGGGATTCAAACCTTTGACTTTGGCGATATCAGCACCATGTTCTACTGAGAGAGCTAACAAGCCAGCCCTGTTATATATGTATTATATACTGTATTCTTACAATAAAGTAAACCAAAAAGAAAATATTATTGAAATTGTAAGGAAGAGAAAATATATTTACAGTACTGTACATATATTTATTGAAAAAAAATCTTCACGTAAGTGGACTCGAGCAATTCAAACCCATGTTGTTGAAAGGTCAACTGTACTTTTATCCAGGCCACAGTCTCTGTCTCAAGGACAAGAGTATGGCCAGCAGGACTTGCCAAGCCTCTAAATTTGGGGCATCATGCCCCAAGTATGCCTTCCCATCTCCCTCCCTGCAGGTCCCAAAACCCAGAAGAGTGGTGCTACAGATGACCCACCCATGCCAAGCCTTGGGTCCACTTCCCCTAAACCTCCTCATACCTTGAACCGCAAGCAGTGGCGGAACCGGCAGAAGAACAAGCGGAGACATAAGAACAAGTTTCGGCCACCTCAGATGCCAGACCAGTCTCCAGCTGAGGTCCCCACAGAGGAGACAGAGATGCCTCCTACCCCTAAGCCAGACAGCCATGAAGCCCGGGCGGGGGCTCTGCGAGCTCGCATGGCACAGCGGCTGGATGGGGCCCGATTTCGCTACCTCAATGAACAGCTATACTCAGGGCCCAGCAGTACTGCACAGCGCCTCTTCCAGGAAGACCCTGAGGCTTTTCTCCTCTACCACCGCGGCTTCCAGAACCAAATGAAGAAATGGCCACTGCAGCCAGTGGATCGCATCGCCAGGGATCTTCGCCAGCGGTGAATGGGGGTTGGGCACTGTGAGAAGCTTTGTAGGTGAGTTGTGGGCTCAGACCAGACCAGTGTGTAACTCCTCCCTTCCACTCCCAGGCCTGCATCCTTGGTGGTGGCTGACTTTGGCTGTGGTGATTGTCGCCTGGCTTCAAGCATCCGGAACCCTGTGCACTGCTTTGACTTGGCCTCTCTGGACCCCAGAGTCACTGTGTGTGACATGGCCCAGGTAAACTCCTCTATGTATCTGACTTGTGCTCTAGGCCCAACTTCCATGTGCTAATCTCTTTGATCCTTCTTTCTGATCCTTCTTTCCTCCCGCTCTGCCCCATCCTAGTGTCTGACCCTAGAATGCAGTGATGGCTTTCTTCTTCTCACACTGCGTGTTTCGTACAACACTCTTACTCTCCACAGGTACCTCTGGAGGATGAGTCTGTGGATGTGGCTGTGTTTTGCCTTTCGCTGATGGGAACCAACATCAGGGACTTCCTGGAGGAGGCAAATCGAGTGCTGAAGCCAGGGTAGGAGGCCCTAGGACATAGATGTGTGCATATGTGTGCGTACTTGTGTCTGCATTGACACCAAACTTTCTGTCCTTCTCAGGGGTCTCCTGAAAGTGGCTGAGGTCAGCAGCCGCTTTGAGGATGTTCGGACCTTTCTGCAGGCTGTGACCAAACTGGGCTTCAAGGTCATCTTCAAGGTGAAAGCCCCAAGAAGTCTGTCTCTATTTTGTCCCATGTGCAGCCCTTTTCAGGGTAATGATGTTTAGGAAGGAGGCCATAGTCCGGGAACAGACATTTTGCTCCCTGAAGGCACAACTCAAGGAGAGCCCTGGGAAGCTTTCTAGCAGGGACAGGACATGGAGGGAGATGTTTGAGGAGTTGGGGTGAGGATTTGGAGCTCACTAAGTCTTTTCTGCCTCTAGGACCTGACCAACAGCTACTTCGTCTTGTTTGATTTTCAAAAGACTGGGCCCCCTCGGGTAGGGCCCAAAGCTCAACTCTCAGGCCTGAAGCTTCAGCCATGTCTCTACAAGCGCAGGTGAACTCTGGAACTCCCTTGAAAAGGGAGGCGGGGCTCGAACTCCAGGCTCAGAACTCTGAAGACTGTATCCAGCCAGGCTGTGAGCCAGGAACTGGTATCACCTTTTTTCCATCCCAAGAACAAAGTGTGATAAAACCTCTGGCTCAGCCTGTGGCTTCTTGGTTACAAGAAGCATAAGGTCACGGGTGGTAGCTAAAGAATAAGGAATTTATTGTGAGAACATGGGGATGTCTGGGAATTATGGATCACTTTAGGTGTCATGAAAACTAGACAGTTTGGAATTCAAGGCATTTCTGGGTTTGGCTGCTCTTTCCATCTCTCAGAAGCCACATGGACTTTCTGTCTTGGCATCTCCACTCTGTTCTCCTTATCTGTCTGCAGACGAGCATCCTCTGCTTACCCATAGCTTCTGCTCCTTCAACTTCCGTCTGCCCAGGCCTTCAGTGCTACAGACAGGCAGCTGTTGCTTTCTGGCTCCGGGGCAGCTGGTAATCCACCAATATCCTGGCTCAACACATCAATCTAAGCTACCAGGTCAAAACTGTTTAGATGTCTCAGTACTGAGCATTTCTAGTGGTTTATCTTTTCTCCCTCTGTCCTCATCTCCATCTTTGGAACCGTATGCACCATACCATTCCCCACACCTGTTATCCTGTGGGTCCCTGATGTGTGCACAGCTGAGAGTATGGATTTTAGAATCAGTTAGACCTGGATTTAAATCCTGGCCTACCACTTAGAGCTGGGAGTCATTTAATTTCTGAATATCACATTCCTGTCTTAAAGCATTGTCATGTGGGTTAACTAAGAAAATCTATAGCCAGGACTGGGAACATAGGTGCTCAATAAACTAGCTATGGCTATTGTGTGTTGTAAGCCTTATTGTTCTTTGAAGACTTTCCCTAGGCTGGTTGGAGGTTGAATGGTGAAATGGATTTGTTGACTAAGGAAGACCCTGGGAAAGCTCAGGATAGGCCTTTCAATAGGCTCATTTCATAGGATATTTACAGACTTAATGGATTCTGTGCTGTCCTTGAAGAGGGTACTGAGGGAGCTTGGTCTCTGTTCATAAACAACAATTGGTTGATGCCATGTTGGGGAGGGGGATTAGGCTGTTCATTGGCAGAAGGGTCTGTCCATTGTTTCTGCCTTGCAGTGGGCCCAGATCAGCACATCCTGGGAAAGCTATAGTGAAGGAAGGCTAGTGCTGTGGGAAGATGAGATGTGATGATAAATGCTAGTCCTCCGTATGTAAAGGTAACAGCCTCTTCTGCCTATTTCTAAGAACAAGACCTGAGAGTGCCTACCGGAAGGACATAGGTCCCAGGGCTTTGAGCCAGTTGGGTGCTTCCAGTAAAGAGACAGGTTTTGAAAGAGGCTGTAGGCCAGAAAGCGTGTTTGGAGGCTGCGCTGTGAACCATTCAGCAGACACGTCCCAGGGCTTTGAGCCAGTTGGGTGCTTCCAGTAAAGAGACAGGTTTTGAAAGAGGCTGTGGGCCAGAAAGCGTGTTTGGAGGCTGCGCTGTGAACCATTCAGCAGACATTACACAGTGCCTTTGCATGTGCTGTTCTCTCTGCTGCTTAGTTGTCTGACTGGCAACGTTTACTCATCTTTCCAAACAGCCTAGTTTCCTACTCACATGCTCCCAAAGCAGAATTCATTCTTCATCTATGCTATCAAAGTATTGTGTGAAGAGTGCTACTGCAGCATTTAAATACTGCATTGTGACAACTTTGTGCATTTGGCTACAGTCTTTCCAAGCCATATTTACCTTTGTAGTCCCAGAGCTTGTCACTTGAGAGCAAGCCAGTGAATGCACTTGTTCACCTAGGGAGAGATGACAGGGTCCAATTGAGTGGGATTGATGACAGCAGGGGTATTCCAGAAACCCAGGTTGAGAGCACAAGATGAGGGCACTGGATGAGTCATGATGGAAGAAGTAGGTAGATGGGAGAACTTCATTAGATAGGATTGGTGGGATGTTGAGGGTAGATGAGAAAGAATCTGAAGTAAGTCCTTGGTTTCTGGCTTGAGCAGCTGGGTGGGCTAGTGGTATCATTCAAAATGTTGGATTTTAGGTGCTCACTAGATGTTCATTTAGAAGTGGGACATACATGAGATATGTGCTAGTTTTGGATATCAGCAGCCTGGAGGCCTGAAGCAGCCTTAAAGTCGTAGGAATAGATGAGCTATCCAGGAAAGATAATGAGAAGAGAAAGTGGCTCAGAATAGAACTCTGAGGAGCATTTAATGGATGGGTAAAGGAAAATGAAACAGTAAAGGTGACAGAAGATGAGAAGGTTGGGCCAGAGATAAAGGAGTAAAACCAAGAGAGTGGATCTTTTATTTGGGAGAAATGGGCAGGTTGTTGGCTGTCAAATGCCGTTGAGAGGCCTATTAAGATGAGAGACAAGTTAGATTGCAGTGTGGTAAGGACTGCTGAGTATTGAGGGCCTGTTTGAATTTATAGTGGTAGTATTCATGAATTTATAGTTATGCTGGTAAACCCAGTGGTGTGGTTATCCCTATCTACTCAGGCATCTTGATGTAACTGCAGAAGAGGTGAATGCTAAGGGACCATCCAGAGCTCATTTCACACAATTGAAATGAAAGGACATTGAGCAACGGAGTTTTAGGTCATTAGCAAGTAAGCAGTGTCTATGCTGGACCATGGAATTTTGTAGAACACATAGGAGAGTGAAGACAAGAGTAGTAATTAAACAAGTGACGAGAGGATGGGACGCTGTGGTTAGAAATTGGAATGCTTTGGAAGCAGAGCAGCTCCAGGTGATGGCAAAGTCTAGTCTAGCCACAGGGGTAAGTGGTTTGCCTGGAGATTGGTTAATGGACTGAGGGATCAGGAATTGTGGGGAGTGGCTATCTTCATGGACTTTGAAGTATTCTAGGATGATGGTAGAAGCAGTGGAACAGGTGCCAACCTCTTGAGGGAGGGGGAGGCAGGGTGGTGGGAATTTCAAAAGAGCAGAAGGTTTATACTGTCTACTAGACAGACTTCCATGTTGGCGGTGATGTGAGGCTGGTGAGTGGAGCTGGCTGCCAGGCAGCCAACATAAAATGCCCTGACAGTTCCTTTTCAGCCTGTCAGGATTCACAGGCTTACTGGGGAGACCTGACTGTCATGGCATCTCCATGAAGCAGGAGATTCCTGGGATAACCAAAGGGGGTGTGATGGTTGCGGGGGACAAGCCACAAAGTTCAAGGAATGTGTTGGGGTAGCAAAGTATCTCACTGTAGGACACACGTCATCTTTTTATAGCTCCATATTCGTGTTCTTTCCCAAATGTTATTTATGTTCCTAGATCTTGATTAATTCTGTTTTCTTATTGTACTCCGCAGGACAGCTGGGGTCTGCCTTCCTCCCTCTTCTGCTTTCCTCTCTTGTAATTTGGATTCTCCACTTGCCTATTCTGGCTCTGGCCACCTGAGTAAACATCTCTGGATCTGACTCAGGCCCCAGGCACTCTCTACTTCAGCACAGTCCCCACTAGTGGTCCCCATCAGTCACCCCAGTTCTGAAAGGAGGACTCTCCTGAGCCTGATCTCCGTCATCAGCTTCAGGACAAGCTCTTGTACAAGTCTGTGCCTGGGCTTCAGTGTCTAATGTTGAGAGCCTTGGCTGAAGAGAGAACAATGTATATTTCCTTAAGAAATAACAGCATGCTCTCTGTTTAAGAACCAATGAGACCAGTGTGGCTAGAACAGATTGAAGGAGGGACAAGAGTAGTAGGAGGTAAATGATAGTTGGAGGGGGTTGCTCCGATTGTGAAAGGCAGTTGCTCTCAGACTTTAGAATGCATTAAGATCATCTGGAAGCATGTTATAGTGCAGATTCCTAAGCTCTCCTAGAGTTTCTGATTTTGTAGATCATGATAGGGCCCCAGCAGTTATTTTCTGGTTGCTTTGATTTTCTTTGTGAAGCAGGAAGTAGATGTATTGGTTAAGAGTGAGAACGGAGGAAAGGATGTTGGGGTTTTGAGGAGAGGAGAATGTGAATATCTTTTGGAGAGAATGAAAGGAGAATGAAATGAAAGAGGGGATGAGTGAACTAGGGAAATACTAGGGGTCTTCAAAAAGTTCATGGAAACATTTGTATTATTTTTTAATTTTATTTTTCTGCAAACTTTGGAGTACCCTTGTACAGATTGATTGCTGATAGAATTAATAGCACACTGGAGTTTCAGGGTCATAAAGTAAAGAGGATGGGTTGGGAGGAGACTGGTGCAAGGTTGCTTTATAGAGAACTTGTTACTCTGAGACAATGTACAGCTGGGCTGTCAAGCCCTAACCCTCCTTTGTGGGGGCAGGTTCAGCCCTCTTACCTCAAGGCTAGTTGGAGATTCCACTGGAACCATTCGGGAAGCTTGAGATATTTATTCCTACAACTGAAGAATGATGAGCCTAGAGTCTGACTCCTGCCCTGGAAATGTAGAGGACAAGGAAGGCTCGCTAACTGTTTCAGTTCTGGAGCCAGGGGACTGCTGCTGCTTTTGCATTGGCCTGCATTCCCAGAATTTGCCCTGGCAAGTGATACATGAATGTGTCCTCTGTGCATCTTGCAGGAAAGAGGGAAGTGTGGGGTTGTCTTGAGTCCTGTCTAGTAGGACCATTTGAAGAGTCAAGGAGACCTCAGCACAAAGAAGCTAGGAGTCTGCCATGTGGGCTGAGGAGGTAGTTGCTGGGGACCACCTAGAACAGAGTTGCATCCGCCAGAGTCAAGGGAACTGCAGAGAAGGAACAGCAGGGATGCCCCCTTCAACTATCTTCCAGGCCCATAGGGCATAGAACCACTAGTAAAGTCAGACTGTTTAGTCACCTTGTTTCTCCTCATCAGTGATTGAGCCCAGAGCAGTCAGCAGTAGTAGGTGGAGAGGATGTGAGAAGAACGACGAGTGTACAGATCACTCCTTTCCCCAGTGCGGGCTTCTTGACCTAGGTGGGACAGAGTTGGGAGGGGAAAAGATTTAAAACTGAAACAGGTGCAGATTTTTTATTGAGACACAGGATTAAGCATTATAATTATGTAGTTGAGATTGTGTTGGTGCCCTTAAACCAATCCTAGGACTATCTATTAACTAAGAATGTCTCAGGCTTGCTGCAGCTTTTCTTCACAGCAGGGGAAGAGTACTCCTCCATCAGTAAAGTTTGGAGGGAGGTGAGAGACAAGAATGAAGTCGGGTGTGAATATCAGTCTATGCCTTGTGCTTATTCAACATCTCTTAGAGGTCTCCAAGTAGGCAGTTGTTGCAGTATTGGTGTGCTCCTGCTTTTCTTCTGTAATATAGTCCTAAGGGAACATAGTTCCAAAAGAAATGACATGATCTTGGCAGAGACACAGCTCAGCTCCAAGCACCCAACTATTTACGTAATTGCACAAAGCCTTCCACAGCTTTTTGCAGGGACTAGTAATTAGAGCTGTTCATTCCCAGGTAGTTCTCCTTCCCAGGTGACTTTTCTGACCAGCCACCTGGTTCTAGGATATTCGCTGCAGTTAAACTGTCTTACTGGTCTAATTATTTCTACTCCTGTCCCCAAAGCAATCCATTTTCCACACAGCAAAGTGATCTTTTTAAAATGTAAATTAGATTATGTTACTTCTCTGCTTAAAAGCTTTCAGTGGATCCTCATTTCCTGAAAACAAAAGACAAACTCCTTCCCAGGCCAGTTCGTGATCTTCCCCAGGCTTCCATTTCCAGCTGCATCTTAACCCATTCATTCCTTCCTCTCACAAAACTCCAGTCACACAAGCTTTCTTTTCATCTCTCAAGCATTCAAAATCCTTTCTACTTCAGGGTCTTTACACATGCTGCTCCATCTTCCTAGAATACTCTTTCCCTGATGAGTTCATTTTCAACTTTCAAATCTTCACACCAACATCACCTTTTCTTCTGCTGAAGAAACTGGCTAGATGCTCACCAAGATGTCCTCTTTCGGGACATGCGATAATCTACATTTCCTAGCTCCATGCATCTAAGCAGGGTTGTGTGAGTAGTTTTCACCAATGGAAAGTGAGTAGAAGAGATGTTTCAATACCAGGCCAAGGCCATTAAAGTGTGGTTAAGTCTTTTCCATATTCTCCCATTCCTTCCTCTGTCTACCAAGGTCACCTGAAGCACATGTTTTGAAAGTGATGAAATCATAGCATAGAAATCTGGATACCTGAGTACTTGCAGAAGAGGTGCTTGACCAAGAACATCCGTATTGGGCTTTGAACAAGAAATAAACCTCTATCGCATTAAGCCAGTGAGGTTTGGGGGTGTTACAGCAGTTATTTCATATCCTGTATTTATCTTCAATGGGCATCCTGTCTGTCTTACTCTTGACCACAAAACCCTCTTTGTTTCCTTCAGTGCTTCAAACATTTAATTCCCTTTCCAGATGCCAGTCAACACTTCATACTTGTCACATGAATTTAAAATTGGGGGAAAAAATGCTCACATCAAGAAGTTGAGATATTTATTTTGATTGTGACAAAAAAAGAAATCCCACAAAAGAATGCATTAAGCAGATTAGATTTTTTTTCTCATATGACAAGGAACCTGAAGGTAGGTGATTTAGCATTGGTTCGGGAGCTTGAGGATGTGAGGGGTGAAGTCTCTGACTCTCGGTCTCTTGATTCTCATGGACACAAGATGATGGTTTCTTGATTAAGCCGGAACACCCTACTTTTATACTTCTTGGGAGTCTTGCTGATTGCCACAGCCCCTATCTTTTTGGCTTTACTTCTACGGTCCTACATTGTTAATACTCTGGTATAAATATGTTCCATTATCCTTATAACATGACTGAGACCAATCTGAAATAATAACATTTTAAATATATTTTTCTTCCCCACCCCTTTCCACATCTCAGCAACCTGTCAGCGACCCATTCAATTCAAAGCTGCTCTCCCTCCAGCTCAGTGGGGTGGGGGAACAATCTGTTTCTTTCACCCATTCTGTACATCCTGTGTCTCTTCTAGGATTGGAATGGGAGAGGGCATATTAAAGGAAGAAAGACTAAACTTATGTGATTAATGTGGCATCAGTGCGTTCTACCAAGACAATCGTTTAAATGTTAACTATTGTGTGGGGATTGGGGTTCTCTGGAGCTCTCTATGGAAAATTTTGCACTAATTGACTTGGTTGCCTCCTTGTGATACACAGGCCACACTGCCCCCAGAGCTCCTCAGCTCCTGACCTTGACAATGTATCTACAGTCTCTAGCGCCAGCATGCCTCACCCTAGCAGGCAGCCCTCCTGGAAGAGGTCCCAACAAACCCTCAAGACTGTTTACCTTTCAAGGAACCCACGGGAGACTCATTCATATTTGTCCTGCCAGACAGTGCAAGTATAGCCAACTAGTACATGACTCTTCTCTCCTTGTCCTGCCACAGCCAGCCCGACTCTGACTTCTCCATGTGAGAAGTAAGCTCCCAGTCCTCATGAGTGATTCAGGTTATATTCTCCCAAGAATCCTCCACCCCAGTGGCCATAAGGAGAGGTGTGTATAAGTTTCTGAGCTTAGCAAGTCTCTAGCTAGAGAATGTAACGCTGAATGAATGTAATGTCCCTCCTTCTAATGGGAACACAAAATGTATACAAGTGGTTCTGTTGGAGCCTTCCTGACTTGATTTACGATGAAGGGAAAAGCACTGCTCCTTTGCTTTGCAAGAAGTTCTCTCTATTCCTAAAGATATCGGTCAATGAATCTTTCATTTCTAATCACCTATACAATAGAAAGAATGATAGTCTCTGGATCAGCTTTACTGTCTGAGAGTAAATCCTATGTGGATATATCTAGCACCATTATTTAGAATGTATTGGTACCTGTTGTCTCTTGTCCTTAGTTTTGGTGTGTTATCCAAAGATGGTTAAGATCCTCTTTCTCATGCAGGTACGCTTGTAAAGTGTGAATTGTTCTTTTGTGTGCTTTCTTTTCCTTTTTCCTTTTTTTTTTTTTTTGGCAGCTGGCCAGAACAGAGATCCAAGCCCCTTGGTGTTAAACACCATGCTCTAACCAACTGAACTAACCAGCCAGCCCTTGTGTGTTTTATTTATATAGAGAGTATTGTCTACAAATCTTGTCTTATTTCTTACTTTTTTTTTAATTACTCAACTGTGTTTTAAATATGTATCCATGTATAAATCAGGACCCAGTCAGGAAAATAGAAAACACACTATTTCAAGAAGAGGCATTTAATATATAGAATTGATTACAAGTATTAGAAGGTTGAAAGAGTAGGAGGAAGATGCTGACATAAACAAAATTAATAACTACAGAAATCAGTTAACATCCCAAAGCCTGGGAAAACAAAAGGGAAGAGGTAGTGTGATTACCAGAGAGTAAGAACTTAGAGTAGGGTCCTCCTTTGACTGATGCTGAGACTTTTGTGGGGGAAGCTCCCTCCACATATGTGGTGCTTGGACCTCTGAGAAAAGGCATGGCGCTGAGGGTGGGGGAAGCAAGAGCTCTGGTTTCTGACTGCCAAGGGGGTAGCTGTTTTGCTGCTAATATTTCTGAGAAGTGTGGCAAAGCTGATGCTGAGTGCAGAACAATCTAGTAGCTGGAGCCAACTGTCTACAGCTGAAGTAATGTGACAGCAACTGGAAAACAGTAATGAAGTCTCTTCCAATCTTTCATTTTCACTTTCTCTTTAGAGCTTCTCATTGGGAGAACCTAACAGGAAACCAGTTGGCAGTAGATTCTGGGAAATATAGTTTGCAGACTTGTACCCACAGCAACGCAACTAAGTGTGTGTTTGCATTGCAGGGTGAGACAGAGAGAGGCTAGGAGCTGAAAGAAAATAGGTAAATAACCAGTATAATCCATATAGCTACTCATATATCTAGTTTGTTGCTTCTGTCAGCTGGGAGTATTACATAGTATGCACTCACCATAGTGAACTTATCCATTCACCTGGTTGCTTCAAATTCTTTGCTGCCTGTGGAAATTAAAATCCTTGAAGCTAGGGTTCTAAAATAAGTTCCACTGATTACATTCACTCATTTTAATTTTGGGAGGTAAGGGTTGTTTTCCTGCTGGAAGCAGTTTTATGTAGATGTTGGGCTTTCTGCAGCAGTATTCCAGCTTCGAAAACCTGCAGCATTTCCATTGAAGCTAATAAGGATGCCTAATGTAATGACTAAAGTTCAACACAGGACTGGAAGTTCAACTGGTAAAACTACTCTGTAACAGTCCAAGTTTCAATAAACTAGTTAAGAACATAAACTATTGGGAGGATGTATTGGTTCATTTCTGTTATAACAAAATACCTGAAGCTGGGTAATTTATAAAGAAAGAAAATTTATTTCTTACATTTTTGGAGGCTGGGAAGTCCATGGTCCAGGGAACACATCTGGTGAGGGCCTTTTTTCTGGTGGTGACTCTCTGTAGTGGCGCAGGGTATCACACAGCAGGAATGGGCTGAGCAAGAGAGCTAAACTGCTTACTCACTACTTATAGAGCCATTAGAACCACACCCATGACCACCCATTAACATCAACACAATACTTCATGAACAGATCGATCCATTCACTAGAACACTGTCCTCACGATCTGATCACCTCCTAAAGGCCCCCCTTTCAGATTGCCGTAATAGGATTTACCAACTTCTTAACATTGTTACAATGGAGATTAAGTTTCCAACAGATGAAATTTTGGGGATCACATTTGACCCATAGCAAAGGATAACAGTAAGTAATTCACAGAACTAATAAGTCCAGGGAATGAGGCTGAGAAAACAAATGGGAACCGAGAAAGGATGAACAACTGCAAAAAAACAAGGTCATGAGCTGACTGGTTAGCTCAGTCGGTTAGAATGTAGTGCTGATAACACCAAGAGTGTGGTGCTGATGACACTAAGATTCAAGGTTTGATCCCTCTACCAGTCACCAAGGGGAAAAAAAACAACTAAGGTCACATTTAAGAGTCAGACTTGTTAGGATGGGACTGCTGCTGGACTTTTTTTGTTGCTCTTGTTGGTACATAGAATGATGCTGCGAATTGAGTTAATCCTCTAAATTCATGACATTATATTAGGATTGGCCCATGAAAGGGCCTTCTGGTCCATGTTAATTTGTTCCCTTCATTCTTGATTTGCACTTCAGTTCTTCTTGTGCCCCCCACAATGTGTTTGTTATAGGAGGAGTCATCAAAAAGTTCATGGTAAGATTTGTATCATCTTTTCTATTTTTTGATGAACTTTTTGAAGTACTCGTGTATGTCCCTACACACATGTATCTTTGGCAGAATATATGGTGGGTTTGGTGTATGTAGTGGCAGACTTTCCTAGGAAGATTTTTTCTTCCTACGAAATCAGCTGGACTATATTTCCCAGCCTTCCTTATAGTTCAGTGTGGCCATGTATTGAATCTAGCCAATTGGATGGTAGTGAAACTAATGTGTGTTACTAACAGACTTGGGTTCTTTAATTTTCCTATGAATAGTTCCCCACATTATTTACACTTTGGCCAACTAATGCATTTGAACATATGACCTTGAAAGCTACATGGTGAAGATCATGGAGCCAAAAGGAGGAAGGAGCTCAGATCCTGAACATCACTTAGATAAAAGACACCCACCAATTAGGAATACTTGGTTTGGACTTCATGTGAATAAGTAAACTTCTATCTTTTAGAGCAATTATACACTTAAGGGTTTGCTGTTACAGCAACTAACAATTTTTTTAAAAAATCTCTTTTAATTGAACACATTAGAAAAGTAAACAAAACATACACCAATATAGAAAAGTAAACAAAACAAGAATGTTTAGCCCAGTGTTTTATCACAAATCCAACACCAATGGAAAACATCACCCAGATTAAGAAACAAAATGCTCTTAGCTCCCCAAAACCTCTTTTATGCCACCCCCCAAACATTAGCAATTTTGTCCACTTGATCTCACGAAGTTATCACTATCCTGACTTTAATGACACTAATTTCCTTGCTTTTCTTTATTAAGCATCCATGCCTAAATAGTATTTCTGTTTGTCTAGTTTCTTTCACTCAATATTAGGTTTATAGGATTCATCCATGTTGTCAAATGCAGCTGTACTTCATTCATTTTTATTACTGTAGAATATTTTATTCTGTGAATAAACCACAATTTATTGATTGAGTCAACTGTTGATGTACATTTGAGTTTTATATCAATTGGAATGGGGTGGGTCATGCTGCAGGAAATCAAAACCCAAAATACTAGTGTCTTAAGCCAACACAAGATAATTTTTTACTATTGCTATAGGTTGGCAAGGATTCAAGCTAATGGAAACTCCATCTAAACACATGCTTCCATAATCACTGAGACAAGAAAAGGGAACAAGACAAATCACCCTCTGGCACTAAAAGCTTCAGCCCAGAAGTGACAAAAGTGCTTTCTGCTCCTATGTAATTGACCAAAACCAGTTTTGTTTCCCTGTATAGCTGCATAGATGTTTTATAAAAGTACACTCCTAACATGTACCCAGAAGGAAGAGAAACAGAATATTTGTGAACTGCTTAATGACTACCACAAGTTGTTTTGGATTTGTGGTTCCTACAAATAATGCTGCTATGAACAATCTTGCAAATGTCTCTTCTGTGTGTATAGTCATTCCTGCTGGGAATTTAACTAGGAGTAGAATTGTTTGGTTATAAAGCCTGTATATCCTCAACTTTAACAGACAATGCCAAACTGTTTCCAAATTTTTAAATTTTCACTCTTCATCAGGAATATAAGAATTCTTAATCCACATGAAAATTCCCTTAACTTCATTTCTTTGTCATCATGTGGTATTTTCCCTAATTCTGGTATATGTGTAATGGTGATTGACCTTTTCATGTGTCTATCGGCTGTTTGGAAATCTTTTTCCATAAAGTGCCTATTTGGGGCTCACTGGTTAGCTCAGTTGGTTACAGCACGGTGCTGGTAACACCAAGGTCAAGGGTTCAGATCCCCATACTGGCCAGCTGCCAAAATAAAGTGCCTATTCAAGTCTCTTGCCTATTTTTCTATTGGGTTACCGTTTTCTCATTGATTTTTGTAGATGTATATGTGTGTACACATATGCATAAATATACATACACATATGCACACATATATATTACTGGATATAACCCGTTTTGGTTATGTGTTGCATCTGTCTTCTCCTACTCTGTGGTTTTGCTGTTTTACTTTCTTAATGGGTGTTTATTGATGAACAGCTAGAAATTTAAAAGGATAGGTACAAAATTTCCATTTGGTTCTTCCTTAAAAGAAAACCCCAGGAGCAAAAGGACTGCAGAGAAGATGAGTCCAAAAATCTGAGCATAAACTCTGCCCAAATCCTTGGCCAGTGACTAAACTATGTAAGTGCAGGTGAGATGCTCAGAGGCCAGGCTAAAAAAGCAGCTGCTGGAAGCTGAAAGAACTAAGCAGAGATATCGACTGTTGCACACCACAGGAAATACAAAATTTGCAATTTAATGTCATCCCTCTTCCCTAAAATGTCCACTTAACAACACCAACAACAAATCTTCAGACCATAACAGTGAAAACCTACTAGAATATATTATCCACAATATCCAGTTTTTAACAAAAATTACCAGACATAAAAATAAACAGGACATTATGACTCATGGTCAGAATAAAAGATAATCAATAGAAATAAACTGCAGTGAGCTCAGATGTTGGATTTAGCAGTTAAATATTTCAAAGTAGCTATTATTAATATGTTAAAACAATTAAAGGAATATATGGTCTCAATGAATACACAGATAGGGAACCTTACAAGAGACACAGAAACTACAGAAGAGGAACTGTTGCTTTGTGTTGCTTTGCCCCCCACAGATTTGTCACCCCTCTTCCCCTGGGTGATGGAGACACAAAGGATTACTCAAAGCCCATCTTTTCCAAGCAGCGAGAGACCCCGAAGTGGTTAATTTCCCACCGGAACCCTCAAGCAAGAGGCAACGCTTCCTTGGGAAATTAACCACAAATTGGGGTTCTCTTCTCACATTTATTTTCCAGACCACGAAGTTACAGGAAGAGAACATAGGTGGGGTTATAGTTTAACAATATAGGCTGGTAACTTTCAGTGAAACAAGCCAGATGACATTCCAGTAAGGCTATCAACAAAAGCTTGATCTTAGCAAACATTCCTTCTCCCTCTAGCAGTGTTCCAGCAACTTAGATATCAATCAGTAACTAATCTGTCTTTGAGCCAGCAACCTTGCTGTGCCATAATTCTTATCTTGCAACAGAGACTCAATAGCCTGGGCAAAATTTTCAGTCCTCCGCAAGGTCAATATTTGAAACTGCAAGACTTTGGAAGACCAGGCCCTGTGAAGTACATATGCTTTATAGTATATTCCACAAGGAACCAAATGGAAATTCTAGAACTGAAATATATAAATAAAATAACAGGAAAAATTCAATATATGGACTCAACAACAAGTTGGAGATGGCAGAAATAAGAATCAGTGAACTTGAAGAGATGAATAGAAATTTTTCAACCCAAAGAAGAAATAGAAAAAGGGTGAAGAAAAATGAGAGCCTTGGAAAACTTTGAGGCAATGTTAATTGGTCCAACATATGTATATGGAGTCCTAGAAGGAAAGGAGAGAAAGAAAGGGACAGGAAAATATTTGAAGATATAATGGCTATAATATCAACATTCTTGAAAAACATGAACTTGAAGATCCAAGAATCTATGAATACCAAGCGAGATAAATACAAAGATCTACATCTACGAATATCATAATCAAATTGCTGAGAGCCAAAAGTAAGAAAATATTGAAAATATAAAGACACATATACAGAGAACAAGGATATGATTAAAAGCAGACTTCTCATCCAAAACAATGGAAGACAGATGACATTGGAATGACATGTTCAAAGTGCTTAAAAAGGAAAAAAAGTCAAACAAGAGTTCTATATCCAGGCAGTTTAGTTCCCTGGACTCAAACTGTAAGTGAAAGCAAAATGAAGACACTTTGATGGGGGAAAAAAACAAGGAATTTATTGCTAATATATCTGCATTACAAAAAATTAAGTTCTTTGGACTAAGGAAAAATGATACCAGATGGTAACTCAGATCCACAGAAAAAAACAAAGAGCACCAGTTTGAGCAAGAATTCTGCTAAGTCATTTCAGGGAAAATCTCCCACCCTTGGTATCTGACTACCCTCTGAAATCTTATTACCCTGGCTTGCCTTCAGCAATAATTCTATCAAGTCAGGTTAGCCAGAAACCCCTTAACCCTGATATTTCCTCT